GACTCGCTCAGCAAATGAAAAGTACAAAATTATGACCCTCGCCGAGCCTTCGCTACTAAAAACAGTGCCGATAGTTTGGGATAATAATTTGTCTAATATTGTTCATGAAAATTTTCAGTTCTTACCGATTTTGCGGATAGGCTGCGGCAGCCGAGAAAGCCTATTGCTGTTGTTCTGACAAGCAGAGTATGGCACCCGGACATCAAAAACGAAGATCGAACGCAACCCTCTACTTCATCCAGTCGCGATATATCTATCCCGAAAAAATTCAAGCGGGACGATGCAAACAAGCCATCGGGAGCAAGGAAGATCAGCTTAACCAGAAAAATTCGGGTGCCACGTGATGCTGAGCCTAGTAAGCACATGATAAAAATAATAATATGATAATAATCATGAGAAATGGTTGATTTAATAATGTGGAACAAGGAGCATTATTTTACTCAGTGGTGGATTAGATTAGCTACCGTCAGCACGATCCGCACAGCGTGAAACTGAAATGCTTCCGCACGCTCACTGGCATATCACCGAGATGCGAATAAAAAAGGTGGACAGAGCCAAAATACGCTGATTTATTGGGGAACTTCAATACATCACAGCTCAAAAATAAATGGCCAACACACCGACTGCCAGTGCGAAGATACGTTTTTTGCATAGTTTCCCACAGTTTTTGTCGCTACCGACATCAGTTTTCCCGGTAAGTGCTTCTAGCTGAGCAAATTAAAACTGGCCGTCAGTCGGAAAGCACCCCTTAAAATTCCAGCTTTCAAGCTTTCCTGGCTTCTGAGTTAGCAACTTCAGCCCTGCAGTTTTTGTAAGTCTCGAGATGAAAAATCGGTGCAGATGCCTAGCGCACACACAGACACACATACACACACAGACAACCTCTCGTTAGCATGCGTTTTCTGCATTGCACACATGCAAAAAACGCATAATTACCAGAAGTTAGCACCAAGAAATATATGAAAGCGTGGTTAACATCTCTCTCCGTTTCTTTCTTCCTCCCCACTCCTTTTACCCTCCTCCTTTCCCGCTCCTATTCCTACCTTCCTTTGTTTACTTTCAAGCTGAAAATTTCTTTCGCGGCGCACTTGCAACAAACGCTTTTGAAATCTGAAAGGCTGAAACAAAAATCTATTTTCAAATAAGGCATGATAGTATTTGCTCAAGAGATCAGTCTACACTATCACGCTTGCAATTCCCTTGTTGTTGCTCGGTGCGAAACTTGCAGCACAGATTGAAGTTCGTCAAAAAATAACACTACGACAGTTAAGCATATTTAGTTTAGCAACATTTTTATGCATCTTTGCACCGTATCTGCTAAACGCATTACGGTAGGGTTTTTTGTATCTGTATGTACATGCACGCATGTTTGTATGTATATGTATTTGCTTTTAAGCCAAAGCTAAAATATGTACGAAAACTAGAGAAGTGTAACTTCCGGAACG